CCTCCCTCCACCTCCCCCCTCCCACCCCGACCCCCCACCAGGGCCAAATCCTTGAAATTTTTCATTCTGAAGAATCTGGAACACATTGATTTGCTAAAATGCTTTGCCATGATAGATCCCAACCTTATCCCTCCACTACAGAAATAATCCTCTTAACTTACCTAGCAGTATAAGCAAATTCCACAAGCTGTTCAATAATGTCAGGTTCAGCATCTTTAAGTTCTACTTCAAAGGACTTTGATTCAAGCATGTTAGCTAAAATGAAGAAGAGAAACACAAATGGCATGAGCACCACCACAGCGGAAACAGCTTATTCCGGGCCATGTAATATGGAGAGGAATAAAAGGACAGGACTTCTCTGGAAAATACTCCAGAAAACCCAACATTCTTACAATAAAATCAAATTAATTCTCCACACGTGAGATATGCCTTAAATTAAAATTATCTAAGAAATTAAAGAATTAGTGTACTTCTTAAAAAAAAAAAAAAAAAAAAAGCGGGCGGGGGTGGGGGGGTGGGGAGGGCACGTGAACAGAGAGAAATAAAACTGGACTTAGTATTTTCCCAACTTCTAAAATAATTTAGTAGCACTCTTTTAAATTGCTATGAGCAAAATGCCTCTGATGTTGCTAGAACAAACCCATGAGAACAATGGCCATTATATATATAGTCAGCTACAACTAGCAAAGCTCTCCTCGTCCCAAAATCCTGGCAGGTAGATACATTTTATAACTTAATGAAGCTCATGAAACAGTACTCAGTAGAGGTACAAGAACGTGGACCCAATTCTCAGCTCCAAGTCTAGGATTCTTTCTAGTATTATGTATATATGCAAAAGGCTAAAATGCTAAGTGTCCTTCCACCTGTCTGACTGGTCGCTATGACGCACACTGACCATTTACAGAGAAACCGCAGCACGGACCTGGTGCTGTCAAAACAACACTCAGCTTCCCCCAAGTGGGACACAGGCCCCACCACCCCCCTGGAGCGACAGCCCACTAAATCACAGCCAATGCTGCCCAGACCCCATGGCCAGCCCAGAAATGGTTGCTGTTGTGTTGGGTAATGACCTAATGTAGCAACACCTGGCTTCCTCTCCCTAGCAACTAACTAGCCTTCTTGCAGTTTCTTTAGCCCAGGAACTTGCTTTATAGTCAGGTGAAAACATTTACACTTTAACCAAATGTCTGTGAAGCATTTTCCCATGCCTCATCTCACTTGATCCTCACAGAAGTCCTGGAGTAGGTAGATAGGAGTCTCGGTAGAATACTATTATCTTTTCATTAGCTGGAAAAATGGAGATTTAGAAAGCTTAGAAACTTGACCCAACTGAAGAGAAGTAAGAAATGGTGGACCTTGAAAATGACTTCAGGTTTTCTCACTGTGCAGAATATAGTCAAACACTGCTGCAGTTAAATATTTCACCCTTTGTTCTCCTGTGTGATCTACAATAATAATGTTTCATGTTGATATTTATTGCTGTGTTGCTGACAATTACCTGTAAGAGAAGCTGGGGTGCTTTACTGGACTGGAAAAAGTTTAGCTCCATCAGAAAGCAGGTCTAATTAAGCAAGTTTATTTTATCTATGTAAAAGACTAAGTTGACTCGCACATGTACGATACACATCAAGCTCTTGCTGGCACCAATCACACACGTGTGTTTCAATATGTCATTGTTGATCATGAGTTTGATTGACACTTCTATTACAGAAAAAGGGCAAATAGCGATATTAAAATATTTCTAATTAACTTCCTTTCAATGTGCACCAATTTGTGCACCGGGCCACTAGTATGTAATATTTCATTTTTATTTAACTTAAACTCGCTGGATAAAATGTCATAAGGTTTATCTGTTCCTTTGCTTTTCTACCAGAGGTTAAGAAGAAAACTGTAGCCATTTAAGTAGAAACTGTATCCCCATTAATAAAGAACTGGGGCTTTTGGGGCTAATGAAATGACATGACTCCTTTGATTAATCATAACCATGACCACTTTTCAATCTCTTCACTGTTTCATGATCTGAACTTCTTTATAAACCAGGAAAAAAAAAGCATGTTTTCATTTAGACCCATCTCATTCTCATCCTATATAATAAAAATGTAATATGCAAATGGTTGTTATGCCGTGAAGCATAATGACCGACTGCATAACAACAGGATCATGGATCAGCAGGAGGGTGGGGTAAGGAGGTGGGAGTGGCGCATGGATTCATGAGCATTGCTACTAATAGAATAAATAATATGTTTGACTTTAAGATACTTACTTGTGAACATTAAGTTAAAAAAATGACTGGCTGCTGCGAGGACAACACGATGAGCAGGTATTTTTCTTTCCTGGACCATAAGGATCACATCACACAATGTTTTCTAATCAAGAGAGAGAAAGAAAGAAAATCAAAAGGGGCTCATTGGGCCTGGTTCAGCAAACATATTAAACAGGTGCTTGTCAAATGCTTCATCTCTATTTCCTATTTAAATTTGTGTTTTGTTTTTTTTCCAGTACAGAATTTGTTTATAATATTTATGAAGGACTCACAGAGTGCTATCATGAGTTTTCTGTACCAAAATCAGGCACAGAGCTTCCTAACAGTTAGGAAAATCTTTATAATCAGCAAAGAAGTAGTCAACTAATTTTTAAAGGGAAGACAATTTTTTTTTTTTTTTTTCTGAGACAAATTCTAAGCTATTTATCACAGTGAGATTTTATGGGGCCAGTAAATGACATAATGACAATGCCCTTAATGGCTTTTCTTTCTGGCTTAATTCCTATGCACTTATACTTCTTATCCCTCCAACAGAGCTGGCTGCTTGATCTTTATCTATGAGTCTGCTCTGTTTTGTTTGATAGTTCAGTTTGTTCATTAAATTCCACACATGAGTGAAGTCATATGGTACTTGTCTTTTTCTGACTGCCTTATTTCACTTAGCACAATGTTCTCCAGGTCCATCCATGCTGTTGAAAAGGTTTAAAACTTCCTTGATTTTGCCCTGGCTGGTTGGGCTCAGTGAATAGAGCATCTGCCTAGGGATCTGAGGGTCCCGGGTTCGGCTCTGGTCGGGGCTCACAGGAGGCAACCAATGTTTGTTTGTGTTTCTCTCACATTGATGTTTCTCTCTGTTTCCCTCTCTCTCTCACTCTCCCTAAAAAAAGTCAATGGAAAAGTATCATTGGATGAGAATTAACAAAAAACAAAAAGAAAAAAGGAAATGCAAATGCCTCATTAAAAATTAAAAACTTTTGTCTTTACAGAATAGCATTCCATTGTGTAAATGCATGCTTTTCAAACATAGCAATCTGCTGTTGAAAATGACGTATCCTTGATAAAATCCAGAGTACACACTGCACATCCTAAGACATTAACCTTCATAGATCTCAATTGAAATAGAAAAACTCAGAATTCAGAGTGGGTGAGCCAAACGTCCATGCAGCACTCTCTCCTTAAACAGCACTCTTCTCAGATGTGCTGCTGATAGGAGCTGGATATCCGTCACTTTTAAACTGTGATTTCTGACAAAGGCCAAAACAGTCATCACTCTAGGCTGCTGAAAGAAGGCTGGATTTAGACTAAGTACTAAAAATGTTGGAAAATTTGAATATTAAAGAAAAAAGTAAGGTTTATTAGAACCATTAGAGATAAATTTCAAGAAGAAAAAAAGTCCTTTCTATAAAATAAAATTTCAATTTCTTACTGAAATTAAATATATAACTTATAGGTAAGGATCAGAGAAAATTTACAGCCTGGGATATGCTAAGCACTCTTAGGAACTGGGAAAATGAGGAAAATAGTATTTTCAGACTAAAATAAAAAAAATAAAAAAAATTTATCACTCATAGAAATAGCTCAGAGGACATGGCATTTTGCGGTAACTATTAATCTAGCTTCTGATAGATAAATCACTGCTATTTCCTATTTTATTACTCCAGGAATAAAAATCCAAATAAGACGGTAATGCTTAGATTGAGAAAGGAAATGGGCCCTAAACAGTTGGCTAAAGGATGAACAAAATTTCTCTTTTATGGCTTATTTGAAATTTTTTTTATAAGGCTATAGACTACTGCTTAGAAATTATATGCAGATTACTTAAAGTTAAAGCTATTGTTATTCTAATAATGCCTTGAATTTTAAAAATGTTGTTTCCTTTTATTTGGGGAGGAGGTTCAGAGTAGGCATAACTCTCAGGTAATTTTGCTATAACCCACACCAAAAAAACAATAATATCCAGGTACCAAATACTAAACGAATGATTTGGTTACCACCAAAACAAGCTGATCAAGTTCCTTAAGAGAAAAATAAAGGCATCAGGGAAGGAAAGGAAGGAGGAAAAGAATATGGACAGAATAGCCAGCAAATAAGATAAGGGAGGGATCTATGGCTGATGCAAAGTTCCAGAAAATGTAGAGAGCTAAACGAAAATGTAGCAAAAAACCTTTGCAAGGCACACTCAGCAATAGGGAGTTTTAGTGAAGCAAATCAATAGGCCCTGGAGGACATTAGGGAAATCAGAGGGATCTTAGAGTAATTTAGTCTTAATCTAAAATTAATCTTTGGCTGGATATTAATGTGTGTGTGGATGGGGACGGGGGTGAAAGGGGAGGGATCTTTTTTACCCAAATGGTACATTTATTTGACTGTACTACAATAGATCGGTTTCAATAAGAGATGGGACTGATCTAGAGAGTTCCCTCCTGCTATCTGGGGAAGGGGCATAACCACAGATAAGAAATTGGAAGAGAAAGACACTCAGGAAAATCGGAGAATGTGAGAGGTAACTAGTCTTGGGTGGAATGAAGAGAAACAAAAAGTACCTGTTGAACAATACATGTTTTTGGATAAAAACAAGAAAAATAATCCCTGCAATTTCTCTAATTATGTCCCTCATATTAGTTATATCTTTGTATTAATTTCAGTTTTTGAATAGTCTCTTATAAACAGCACAGATTTTTGTGTGACTTAGAAGTTCTCACCATCTAATAATATATATTTTTTAAATTTTTAGTTTTTTAATATGGAACGCTTCACAAATTTGCATGTCATCCTTGTGCAGGGGCCATGCTCATCTTCTCTGTATCGTTCCGATTTTATATACGTGCTGCCGAAGCAAGCACATAATATTTTTCAGTAGTGTTTAATTCTTCATATTTATCACTGATAACTTACGTTTTACCTTATAAATGCCATCTTCTTTTATGCTAATTATTTTTGCTTTCTTGCTGTCTTCTTTTTTCTTTAACTGCCAGTTGCTATTTTGGACACATTTTCTTGCTGCACTTTTTTTCTTCCTTTAGAGACTGACTTACAGATATGTCAAGTATTTGCAAACTGAACTCAGCAGGGTATTAGTCAAATAGGGTTCAAAAAAGTAATGTGCCTGCATACTAAAGGTCAAATATCAGAACTCCATAGCAAACATCAAATTTAATGGTGAAACAGGAAAAGCATTCTCATTCAAGTTTGAAACAAGTGGAAATTTGACATATGATAAAGATATCATTTCAAAACTGTGGTGAGAGGGTGGAGCACAGACAAAGTTTAGGGCAGTAAAACTATTTTGTATGACGCTATAACAGTTGATACAAGTCATGATATATTTGTCAAAACTCATACAATGTACAACAGAAAGAGTGAACCCTAATGTAAACTATGGTTAATAATAAAGTCAAAATGTTGGCTTATCAGTTGTAACAAATGTATCACACGAATGCAAGATGTTAATAATAGGGGAAACTGTGGGGGTGAGGGCGAAGGGGTAAATGGAAACTGCATGTTCTGCTTAATTTTTCAGTAAAACTGAAATTCTCTAAAAATAATTTTTAAAAAATGTAGTGAGAGGTCAGATAATTGAAAAAAGGTGTTGGGATAACCATTACACTTTTATGGAAAAATTAGATTTCTGGCTCTTAATGTACTCCCTCTTCCCCTGGGGAACGGAAGCACCGGGAAGGAAGTTTCAGTACTTTTCTTGGACTGTTACTTGTGGAAGCGTGACTACAGGATGGGTAAGAGTCTGTTAGTGTCACATGGAGCCAGGCCTCCTGGCTCATTTTTCTTCCATAATTCTGTCCCCAAAGTGAACAGGGAAAAAGGGAGAACTCTAGTAGACTCAGCAGCCCAGTACATCTCATTGGCAAGTATCTAAAATGTTGTCTAAAAAAAACAATGAGGAGGATCCAAGATGGCTGCTCGGGTAGACACCTAACCGCAGCAGCTCACAACAATTTCAATGGAATACAACTAAAATGTAGAGTGGACATTGCCCAGACCTACAGGTGGTCGACTGACTGAAAACTCTACAATAGGAAGGAGGGAGAAAGCCAGAGGGAAAGTCAGAGGAGCTGAAAAAAGAGCCTAAGGTACGGAGACATGCTGCGCGCTCGCACGTTCGCGCGCACCGAGAGGTCGCAGCCGGAGAGGAGGAGAGGGCTGGGTGCTGCCTGGCGTTCCCTAGCAGGAAGGAAATGAAACCCCCAGCCTGGGCTGAACCCCCGAACTGGCAGCGCTGAGCCCCATTATGGGCCAGATTCTGGGGACCCAGGCTCCGGCAGGGGGAGACGGGGCTGTGAGGCAAAATCCCGGGGACGGCGCGAAAGGCGGGGTCCCCCGGAGTCGCGCGCTTTGTGCGCAGAGGACTGAATGTTGACTCTGATGCTGGATTACCCTAGCCAGAAGAAACAAAGCCTCCGGCGGCGCTGAGCCTCAGACCGGACCGCCCCGAACTCCCGGTCTGGGCCAGTCCCTGGGGACCCAGGCTGGGCAGGGGGAGACGGGGCTGTGAGGTGGAGTCCTGGGAGCGCGGCGAAAGGCCGAGCCCCCGGAGTCGCGCACACTGCGCGCAGAGGACAGTCTGTTGACTCTGATCCTGGACTCCCCTAGCGGGAGAGAGAAAGAAAGCTCCAGACTGGAGGATCGTGACGAGGAGCAGGAGCCCCCGCTGGACACCTGCCAGCCGGGTGCCAGCAAGGAGCCGGGCGACGGGGCCTCCGGGGGGGGGGGGGGGGCCCCTGAGCCCTCAACCGCTGAGCGCAGGCAACAGAGCCAAGGACCGGGGATGCTTCCTGGGCGGCGCCAACCCCAGCGACAGGCTGAAGCAGCGCAGGAGCCCGCGGAGAACAAAGGGGTGCCACAGGCCAACCTGCTGAGATTCCAGGACGGGAAGGAAGAAACAATAGAAGTTCTCAATGTGAAGAAATCAAGTGAGAGCAAATGATAGTAAAATTACTTAAGAAAGAATGCAAAGAATATCTTGAAAAATCAAAGACTAAGTCAGAACTCAACTCACCAGCCAACATTGCAACATAAATGCGTTTTTAAAAAAAAAAGAAAGTAAGAAAGAAAGAAAAAGGGACAGAATGTTGGAACAGCGGCGACCAGACCTAGAGTGGCCAGGCACAAGGCAGTGGCAGCCGGACCCGGAGCAGCAGCGGCCAGGCCCCAGAGCAGCAGCGGCCAGAACCTGAGCATCAACGGCCAGCACTGGAGCAGCCAGACCTGGGGCAGGGGCAGCCAGGCTTGAGGCAGAGGCGGCCAAGCCCAGGGTGGCCAGTCCAGGAACACCCAGACCCGGAGTGGCCGGGCCCGAAGAAGCCAGGCCCAGAGCAGCCGGGTTGGGAACAGCCAGGCCCAGAACAGCAGAAGCCAAGCCCAAAGCATCCAGCCCAGGTGCGGCCAGGCTCAGAGCAGCCGGGCCTGGGGCAACTGGGTCCAGAGCAGCCGGGTCTGGTGCGGCCAGGCCCGGAGCAGTGGCTGCCAGGCTGGGAGCGGCCAGGCCCGGAGCAACCGGGCCTGGTGCGGCCAGGCCCGGAGCAGCGGCTGACAGGCTGGGAGCAGCCAGGCCCGGAGTGGCCGGGCCCGGAGCAACCGGGCCCAGAGCAGCCGGGTCGGGTGTGGCCAGGCCTGTAGCAGTAACAGCCAAGTCCAGAGCAACTAGGTGGGGAGTGGCAGTGACCAGACCCGGAGCAGCGACTGCCAGGCTGGGAGCGGCCAGGCCCGGAGCAGCCGGGTCTGGTGCGGCCAGGCCCGGAGCAGTGGCTGCCAGGCTGGGAGTGGCCAGGCTCGGAGCAGCGGCTGCCAGGCTGGGAGCGGCCAGGTCCGGAGCAGCCGGGTCTGGTGCGGCCAGGCCAGGAGCAGCGGCTGCCAGGCTGGGAGCAGCCAGGCCCGGAGTGGCCGGGCCCGGAGCAACCGGGCCCAGAGCAGCCGGGTCGGGTGTGGCCAGGTCTGTAGCAGCAACAGCCAAGTCCAGAGCAACTAGGTCGGGAGTGGCAGTGACCAGACCCGGAGCAGCAACTGCCAGGCTGGGAGCGGCCAGGCCCGGAGCAGCCGGGTCTGGTACGGCCAGGCCCGGAGCAGTGGCTGCCAGGCTGGGAGTGGCCAGGCTCGGAGCAGCGGCTGACAGGCTGGGAGCAGCCAGGCCCGGAACGGCCGGGCCCGGAGCAACCGGGCCCAGAGCAGCCGGGTCGGGTGTGGCCAGGCCTGTAGCAGTAACAGCCAAGTCCAGAGCAACTAGGTGGGGAGTGGCAGTGACCAGACCCGGAGCAGCGACTGCCAGGCTGGGAGCGGCCAGGCCCGGAGCAGCCGGGTTTGGTGCGGCCAGGCCCGGAGCAGTGGCTGCCAGGCTGGGAGTGGCCAGGCTCGGAGCAGCGGCTGCCAGGCTGGGAGCGGCCAGGCCCGGAGCAGCCGGGTCTGGTGCGGCCAGGCCAGGCGCAGCGGCTGACAGGCTGGGAGCAGCCAGGCCCGGAGTGGCCGGGCCCGGAGCAACCGGGCCCAGAGCAGCCGGGTCGGGTGTGGCCAGGTCTGTAGCAGCAACAGCCAAGTCCAGAGCAACTAGGTCGGGAGTGGCAGTGACCAGACCCGGAGCAGCAACTGCCAGGCTGGGAGCGGCCAGGCCCGGAGCAGCCGGGTCTGGTGCGGCCAGGCCCGGAGCAGCGGCTGCCAGGCTGGGAGCGGCCAGGCCCGGAGCAGCCGGGTCTGGTGCGGCCAGGCCAGGAGCAGCGGCTGACAGGCTGGGAGCAGCCAGGCCCGGAGTGGCCGGGCCCGGAGCAACCGGGCCCAGAGCAGCTGGGTCAGGTGTGGCCAGGCCTGTAGCAACAACAGTCAGGTCCAGAGCAACTGTGAGTGCCTTGGGTGGGGCCTGGATGAGGCTGGTTGACCTATTTGGAAATGTCTTTTGTGTGAAGTGTATCATTGGGCATGTGGAGGTATTATTGATATGAGAAAATGCTAAGTAACAGATTTGCTATCTGAAAAGGGATTTACTATCGGGGAAAGGGAGGGAGGAAGAGACTGAACATAAACTGTGCACCAATGGATGAGGATGAGGGGGCAGAGGGTGGGGTGGGAACCTGGTGGAGGGGGGAAGAAACGAGGAACCTGTGTAATAATATGAACAATAAAGATTGATTTAAAAAAAAAACAAAAAAAACAAACAAACAAAAAAAAAAAACAATGAAACATTACGTATAGATGAAATTCCTTCTCTATATGCTGCCCAGCCGCCCAGGGCCTGCCAATGCTTGCGATGCTGGCAGTGGCAGCAGCAGAGGTGTGATGGGGGTGTAGCCTTCCCCTGATTGCCTGGGTCACCCCCCTCTCCTGAGGGCTCTCGGACTGTGAGAGCCTGTTGATAAGTGATTCCTCCCAGTGAGTTTAGTCTTAGAGTTTATCAATTACAGACAGCTGATAGATTGGCAACCTCTCAACAACAAAAGCCAAGATTTTGTCTTTGAAAACCCTCCTCAAAAATGGAAGTTTCTGTTCTCTTTTTGGCTTGGAACAATAATGTGGGTTAGGATTGTATAATAATGACAACCTTTGCACTATTTTAGAGATAGAGATTTCAGGCTTGTGGAGATTGGGAGGACGCTGTGCTAATCTTAAGAGTTCTAGGGTTCCTTTGACATGCAAAAAAACCTGAGGTATAGGCACGCACAACCTTGAAATTGGAGAAATTCAGCTTTAGAGGTATTATATGAAATCTGTCCCAATGGAAGGCAGCCTACACTGCAGCTGTTGGGGAAGCTATCCTGATTACCCAAACACTTAGGCCTATGTCTTTATTGCTGAGACTGAGCAGTATAAGAAACCAGGGAGAGCAGACATTTGCAATTCAATT